GCAAAAGCTGCAGACGCTGTGTCAGCTTAGAGGGCCGGATTAGGAGTGTGGGCCGGGCGGGCAGGGCCCAGGGGACAGGTGGCCCCCCGCGGCGGATTAGGCAGGGGCCGGGCCCCTCCAGCCTTCACCTTTCAATTATCCCCCAGACAGAACCACTAACCTGCCTCCGGTGCTGGTGAGGAAAGTGAGGCCCGAGGGTGTGCGGGGCTTTAACGGGGCCGCATAGGAGGTCAGCATGACCTTGGGACATTTCCGTGTCTCAGCTTGGCCAGGATGGGAGGGTGGCCCGGGAGTCCTGGAGTGGGGGCCGTGCCCAGCCTGGTCGGAGACTCCTCTCTGTGTATCCTCAAGGCTGGCTCCATGGGAGACTCAACTGAGAGCAGGTGTTGGACCGTCCCAGCAATAATGGGGCACCAGCCATATGCCTGCCTTCTAGGTGCCCCTCCCTTCACTGCTGTGGGCCTCGGGGCCCTCCTGCCCCTCTACGAAAAGGTGCCCGTTGACTGGAGGAGGCTGCTGAGGCCCAGAGAGGGAAAAAGTTTTCCCAGTAGGGGCCGCCTCGCCCGTTTGCCCAGGACTTTCCCGGTTTTAGCACTAAAGTCGCATACCCTGGAACAGCCCTCAGCCCTGAGCAAACCAGGGCTGTCACCCCAGGGCCAGCGTCACACAGCTGGGGGGCGAGTCAGGATTGAACCTGCATGTGCAAAGTGGATCCAGACCCACTGTGCCAGAGTGGGCAGGAGGGCCAGTGTTTCCCTGCCATTCTGTCCCCCAGAGTCACAGGGTCAGCCTGCTAGGTCCCTGGACATTTGGACTGCCTCTGTCCAAGGACAGTGTCATCTGAGAGCTGTCACTGCAGCAGCTGCGGTGATACTCAGTACCCAGAGGGCCAGCACAGTAGGCCGGAGACAGAGGCCGGGGCGCCCGTGCCGCACAGCTCCCAGGCCAGCTTCTCGGACAACTTGTGGAAGGGTGCCCAGCAGGTGGGCTCTGCCTCCCAGCTGCTGCTCTGAGGACGTGCACGGGGCCTGGACAGCCCTTGGGGGGCTCCACGCGGTACCCCTTCTCCATGGCCTCTGACACCTCCTTCAGCCTGGCTTTGTTAAGTGAAGAGGAGGGGTGGATGGATGTGTGAATGGATGGTGGGTGGGTAGGTAGATGAAGGGATGGATGAATGGGTGGGTGGATCAATGGAACAGTGGATGGAGAGATGGATGAATAGAGTGGATGGGTGGGTAGATGAATGGATGGGTAGATGGATGGACATGGGAATGGGTGGGGGATGGATGCGTGGGGAGATGGATAAGTGGATGGATATATGCATGGATGGGTGAATGGGTGGGGACAGGAGGATGGGTGGGTGGATGGATGAATGGAAGGATGGATGGGTGTGTGGATGGATGATGGGTAGATAAATGGGTGGACAGATATGTGAGTGGATGGTAGGTGGATGGGTGAATGGATGGGTGGACAGGTGGATGGATGCATGGGTGGATGGATGGATGGATGGTGGATATGTGGGTGGATGGATGATTGGTAGATTAGTAGATGGTGAGTGGACGGATGGATGGGTGGATGGATGCATGGGTGGATGGATGAGTGGATAGTAGGTGGATGGATGGATGGATGGATGGGTGAGTGGACAGGTAGATGTGTGGGTTGATGGACACGGGTAAATGGATGAATAAGATGTGTGGGTGGATGGATGATTGATGGATGAGTAGATAGATGGTGAGTGGATGGATGGATGGGTGGATGGATGGATGAATAGGTAGATGGGTGGATGGATGAATGGATAGCAGGTAGATGGATGGGTGGACGGGTGAGTGAACAGGTAGATGTATGGGTGGATGGACACATGGGTGGATGGATGAATAGGTGGGTGGATGGTGGATGATTGGGTGGATGGATGAGTGGATGCTGGGTGGATGGATGGATGGATGCGTGGATGGGTGGATGACAGATGTATGATTGGCCGGTGGATGGGTAGGTGGATGGGTGGATACATGCGTGGATGGATAAATAGGTGGGTGCACAGGTGGATGGGTGGGTGTATGGATGGATGGATGGATGGGTGGACGGACAAGTGGATGGGTGGGTGGATGGATGCATGGATGGATGATAGGTATGTGGGTGGATGGATGATTGGTGGGTGGATGGATGGATGGGTGAATGGATGAGTGGATGGGTAGATGTGTAGGTAGATGGATGGATGGGTGTATGGTTGGGTAGATGGGTGGGTGGATGGATGGGTGGGTGGATGCGTGGGTGGGTGGATGGACACATGGATGAATGAATAGGGTGGGTGCATGGGTGGATGGTGGGTGGATGGATGAATGGATGAGTGGATAGTGGATGGATGGATGAGTGGATGGTGGGTGGATGGATGAGTGGATGGTAGGTGGATGGATGATGTGTGGGTGGATGGATAGGTGGGTGGATGGATGGATGGGTGACTGGGTGGGTGGATGTATGGATGAGTAGATGGTGGGTGGATGGATGGATGAGTGGATGGTGGGTAGATGGATGGATGGGTGATTGGGTGGATGGATGAATGAGTAGATGGTGGGTGGATGGATAGGTGGATAGGTGGGTGGATGGATGGATGAGTGGATGGTGG